GAACATGCTGGGTTTGAAAAGGAAAAGGGGATGATTCAAGGAGGAGATGATGATGACGACGTAGAGTTTGACGACATGAAAGAGAAGGATGATATATTGTTAGAGAAGCTCAATGTCATTGACAGGAAACTTGAAGAAAAGCTGGCTGAATTGGACCACACCTTTGGGAAAAAGGGTAAGCTTTTAGAAGAGGAAATCAGAGATCTTGCTGAAGAGAGGAACTCGTTAACAGAGAAGAAAAGAAGACCTCAGTACAGAAAAGTAAGCACCAACTCTTACCCTGGTCACTTAACGCTATATAAGTCTCTCACAAATTTTCTTGTTTCTGAATTCGGATTGTTAAGTATTTCCTTTTGATGGCATGCATTGTTTTGTCATCATCCTGAAAGTGTCCTACTTTACCAAAAACTGCTGTCAGATTCGCCCGGCAGTGCTACAAACGTGCTGAACTAGATTTAAATTTTGATTTGTCTTGTTTCATTGTGTCAGGGTTTTTTCTTGCAGTATGAAACTTTTCGCTCCATTCATTTTCTGGAAAATTTCATCCCTTCTTGAGCCTTGGGTTGTGTTTCTAAGAAGTACTGGGCTGATGGATTTCTCAAAAATAAAATATGTTTGTGTTTCTTTGAATAGAAAAAAGACATTTCGAAATGAGATGAAAACAATGGGTTTACTTTCTTGCAAATGGGACTTAACTTTTGGGAAGTTGTTTCAGGTGGAGAATTCTAATATTTATCCTGCTAATTTTCTGTTAAGAAAAATGAGAAGTTACAAGAAGCATGTTGTTGGTACCAAAATACTTCAAGGCCAGACTCATACACCACATGTTCACATGTCTGATCGCTTCATAGCATATAGAAGGAATAGTATTTAACTAATCGCTTTCTTAAAAGACTTAAGCTTCTTGGTTTAATTTCCTGTGACGGCTTCCTTGAAATGATTGTGGTGTTTCTTTCTTACGTATTTGGCAGTACTGATTATGTTTTTGTTTGGTTGTGTTCTTCATTCTGTTAGCGGAACAGGTTAATATTACAAATCAATGTTATTTTGATAGAATTTTGCTTGAGGTCTGGCATCTAATGGTATTTTCCTAAGCTGTATTGCAAGAAAGAGAATCTTTTTAGTTAAAGATTGGACCCCAATCTGCTGGCAGGAAAGTAGAACTGTAGAAGCATGCTGTATCTTGCTCTTGCTTATGCAGTGTTCAAAAACTCGTAACCTCTGGTAGATCAGTCTATGGCCAAAAAGGTTCCTCTGTTTTTGTAAGGGGGAAGGAGGTGCTGGTCTTCCCTCTTCCCGTGATAGTACTTGGTAGGAGGCCTTTTTGTTGAGATGCTGCTGAGTAGTGTATATTGACATTCTTCTTTCTGATAAACTAAATAGCAAATCTGAAATGTCCCTGACAGAAAATGGAAAAAAAAATAGAATAAGGACTTCATCAAAATAGAATAAGGATGATAGAGTGGAGTTGGCATGAAATGAACTAATTAATTCTTGTCCTGGGCTAGTGATCCCAAACGCTTCATTATGAGAAAGGAACACTGGATGATCCCAAAATGCTTCGTCTAGTTTGCTTGCCTTCTTGAGTTCTATGACCAAACAAAAGGAGGACAGTATATATTTAGTTGTCTGATATGAGGGCTCATCCTTAAGCCTCCAGAAATTGCAAGTTTCAATAGGTGCGTGCTATTGAAGTAGCCCATCTGAGAGTTTGGATCATGGTTAGGTCCAAGTTGTGAGAACTTGTAAAATATGCTAATATTTTTGGTATTCCTAAGGCCCACACATGAAGTGGGAATCCTGTTTCCTCATTTGCATACATCATTTATTTCTATGTTGAGGATTCTTATGACTGACTCAACTCAAGAACGTTTACATAAATAAATATGACCCTATGAGGACATGTTTATGATTATCGAGATTTAGAGTATATATATTTTAAAGTTATTTCGTAGAATTGATGTTTCAGTTTTATTGAATTGGATGTTATCATGCTTTCATCTTCACTTATTATTTCTTCATGATGGCAGGGTTTTGATGTGAAACTCATTAATGTCAATAGGACATGTAAGGTTACTAAGGTACTGCAGCTATTGAATGGATTTTTCTTTCTTCCTAAATGGAGCTTGAATGAGCTATTTCACAAATTTTAGCTGAAATATGATACAGGGGGGACAAGTTGTCAAGTATACTGCTTTGTTGGCTTGTGGGAACTATCACGGAGTTGTTGGTTTTGCAAAAGCAAAAGGTCCAGCTATTCCCATTGCCCTGCAAAAGGTACATGAGTCAGTTTATTGTTTAACCATGGCATATAAAGCATGTGCTTCATTTTTGTCAATGCCTTAGCTGAATGATTCTGTATGAAAAGAAGACTTTTTTTTTAAAAAAAATAAAAATTTCTGCAGGCATATGAGAAATGCTTCCAGAACCTACATTATGTTGAACGGCATGAGGAACATACAATCTCACATGCAGTTCAAACGAACTACAAAAAGACCAAGGTACCAACTATTCTGATAACAGATTTTAGTTGTTTTCTTTTGATAATTTTTCTTTGATCATACACGTAGAAAATCCATTGTGATTTTCTGCTTATGCCTTCTTTAAGAAAAAGAATCTTGGTTTTCTGTATATAGAGGTAACGTTTACATATTTTTTGTTTTTCTTTCAACTGTTTGGTCTTTAACCTTTGCCTACTTGCACCTCTATTCAGGTATATCTGTGGCCTGCTCCTACTCAAACAGGGATGAAAGCAGGTAGAACTGTCCAAACAATTTTGCATCTAGCGGGTTTCAGGAATGTGAAATCGAAGGTAACTGTATCATAATTCTGATCAAGCGGGTCACATAATATTGAAATAGGTATTTATTCAGTGCCATCATTGTAACATCATACTTTTTGCAGGTTGTTGGCTCAAGGAACCCACATAACACAGTTAAGGCTCTCTTCAAAGCTCTAAATGCGGTACGTCCATGTTTTGCTTGTGAATTGTTGCTACTTTCCCACTCATGCTCCCTTTCTTTGTTTTCTAAAATTTGACTTCTTCCTCATTATCTTTGGATTAGATTGAGACACCCAAGGATGTTGAAGAAAAGTTTGGGCGAACTGTTGTCGAGTCATACTTATTGTAATAAGCATTCTCAACATTTCTGTGGTGTTTCATGGCACCTTTTTCGTCATAGCAGGTAAGAACTCAAAGTCCGTTAGTCTCATATTTTCCCATTTGTTCTTTGTCCTCATCATACCACCATCCACACATTGAGATTCTTCTAGATTCATCGGTGTACTAGTTGGAAAATAGTTATGTATATACATTCGTTCGATGACCAAGTGTATCTAATCTTGATATATTCACTAATCTGGCATTTCAAGGTTTGAAATTCTGGGTTAATTAACTGTTTCTCTTGTTTTGGCAGATCATAAACCAAGGAGAGGTCAAAACCATGAGCCCATCAATGGTTTCATAAGCTAGTTTAACTTATTTCTTTTACCTTTCCTTTTGGTGATTTGGTTGTTGTTGGTGTAGTAGTGTTACAAAATAGATGATGATTTCTAGTAGACCATTCATAGGATTTTATTGTTTTTACTTTTCCTACTTCAGTTTCGATTAGTTCACAAGATTGAATAGTCAATTCTCCTTCGAATCTCGATTTTGATTGTTCTCCAAGAATATTGAGCCATGAAGATACTACACATATGTGGCCCATTGTATTAATCGAGTCATTCATTAAAGTTTTCGAATACGAAATAAAATCATTTTCCAGTTAATTTTACGTTCATTGTAATGTGAGTGGAGTTTACGTTATGCACACTCAAAAGATAGCGACTACCGGGGATGAACTTTAGTCTCGACTCTTATGACGTTGTTTGCGTTGGTAACTCATCAACTCTATTTTTTTTTATTTAAGATGACGTGTATTTTCATAATATTATTATTATGTAATATTATCAAAGAAGATTTAAGTAAAAGTATAGTGTAAAATCTCTATAAATTAATATTTGGTAAATAATAATCTCTCTAAAATAGTTTTTTTTTTAATTCTAATTTGGGTTAATGGAAAAAATCACTAATTTCGATAAGATAATATATTTTCAGAAGACCTCTATATAAATCTAGTTGAACCTCATCTCTAACTTTTCTTATTGCATTCAAAAGCTCTGGTGTTGTTAAAAATTGTGAAGAGTTTTAGATGTGATAAGTGTTTCCTTACGTGTAATTGGTTCCAAAGGTATAATATCATCTTCAACTTCATCATCAACATTGTTTTTTCTGATTGTATTCACAATTTCTTTTAAGCGCTGGACATATGAACATGTATCACTTCCATCTGAATAATTCAACGGGTTATTGACATTCATTTTATCGTAGTAACCGATATTATTAATCATGACCTCAAATTCATGAATGACGTTTTCACAAGTCGATTCATTCAAATTCTCTGAAATTACATCCCTTGTTAAACATTTGTTGTCCAAAAAAAAATTGCAAAATCGATAGCATCCAAAACATTAATATTTGTTGAATTAGTTTGTTCCACTTCATAGTCTTATAATATCCTATGACAAAATCTGTTCGATAATATATCTTGAAAGCTGTTATTATTAAAACGTCACAAAATTGAAATTACTAAGATACAATATTTAAACATATTCGTTGTACTTTATGTTAATTTTTTAAAATATGAAATCAATAAATATAATACGTAAATTATTGAGATACAATAACTTTTATATAATCAAAATTATTTATTATTTTTAAATAAATAAATATTAATTCATCAACTAAATAATATTTTTATAAAATAATAAAATTTCATGATTCCACCTATATTAATTTATAATGATTCGAGACACATTATTTAAATTCATTGAATCTTTGATACGTTTTCTACTTCAAATTGATGACTATAATTAAAGTATTTTTAGATAAATAAAAACATTACATATATTTTTTTTTCTTCTGAAATTTAAATAAAAGATATCCTACTAAAACACTTTTAGTTTCAGCTTATAAAAGTTTCAAATTGAATTGAAGACAATACTCCACCGATAGTATTTTTATTTTTTTTAATATATAGTTTTTGAGATTTTTTTTTTCATCCATTAAAACTAAAACTACAACCCAGAACTTTAATGGAAGCTAATTCAAGAAGATTAATGGGTTTAGAGAAGAAGAAAAAAGTAGAAGAAGAATGGAACAATATTTACAACTCTAAACACCAATTATCTTCTGCTGATTTTCCTTCTTACTTCGTGTTTGGTGTCGCCACTTCTGCTTATCAGGTTTTGTTCTATGCTTTTATATTATTTCGAGTTTATATGAATTCAATGCGATACTGTTTGACTTGACATAAGTTATATTAATTTAAGTGATATTGTTTGAGTTTGACATAAGTCATATTAATTTTTGTGATACTGTTTGATTTGACATTTATACTGATTTACGTGGTACCATTTGACTTGACATAGGCCTTTTAAGGAAAAAAAATTATGACTTTTGAAATTTATGATCTGAAATCAAACCTTTGGGTATAATCATAGAAAAGTGATATTGTTTTGGTTACAAACTTAAGAAGAGAAGGTGCTACATAAATTGTAGTTTTTAAAAAAATTTTGTTTGGACATTTTTTGGGTAATTCCAATCATGAAACTTTGTAAAGTGCATGTTGAAGTAGAATTTTAAATATCAAAAATTTAAATTTTTATGTTTTTTTCTATAAAATATATGGTCAAACGAGAGCTTAATGCTATAATATTTAGAGGTTGGACCCATAAAAATTGAATCTTGGATTCGCCTATGCTCCTCTTATCATTTTTTTTTGGACTAATGTTTTTGTTTTCTCTCTTATTTTGTAATATTTTTTTATTTTTATTTTTGGGAATTTTGATATATGGGAAAAGGTTGAAGGTGGAAGCAAAGAGGGAGGAAAGGGTCCTAGCATATGGGATTCTTTTTCACATACTCAAGGTAGTTAAGTGTCTTTGCTTTTTGTTTTTTTCCCCTTTTCTTGGTGGATGTTTTGTTGAAGTTTTTGTTTAGGTAAAATATGTGATGGAAGCACTGGGGATGTGGCTGTAGATCAGTACCATCGCTACAAGGTACAATCTACTTCTCGTTATCATTATTATTACTCTCCTATTATCTTATTCTTCGGTTTTTATTACTTGTTGCTTCCTTTGCTTTGGTTGTCGTATTATCTTTTGTGGCTAGTGTCCATTATTTTCTGCATGGATTTTTCTTCTTTTTACTACTGAATTTCCTTTCCTTACTGATTTCGATATGCTTTACTTGAGCTGATGGTCTATCGGAAACAACCTGTCTAACTTCATAAGGTAGAGGTAAGGCTGCGGACACAGCACCCTCCGCAGACCCCACTTTTGGGATAATACTGAATATGCTGTATTTGTTTGTCAATTTTATTACTTAGCAAAGAATATAATTTGGAATTGCGATTGGAAATTTTACTTAAAGGACATTATGTTTACCTTGGTGTCCATAAAGATAAAATACCTTGTGTTTTACTATTTCTTTTGTTGATATACTTTGTTCTTATTCACGGCAGAGTGTTCTTTTTCTTTTTTGGTCTAATTTTGTTCTTTAAAATTCAGGAAGATATTGAGCTCATATCCAAGTTGGGATTTAAGGCTTATCGTTTCTCAATATCGTGGAGTCGCATCTTTCCTGGTATAAAGCTTTTCATTTTATTTTTTGATGATTGTGGTCTGCCAGTCAGCTGTCAAAGTTGTAGTTACTAGATTGCAAGTTTCGGAAAGCCTTTTTCTTTTCTTTCTTAAGTTTCATGTTCAGTCGAACAAGCAAATTTCGTGCTTTTTCATTTTTGGTTGTGAGCGATCTCTGTTAATATCAACTGCTCTCCCAAGTAAACACAGCTTTACGGAATAGCGTTTTTTCTTGATTGCTTTTTGGTGCACCCTGTATATTCCGACTTGTATAGAGGATTTAGTGGCTTTTGTAGAGAATCATGTTTTGATGTAGTTTCTCTGCTCTTTGATATACGTCTTGTATATGGTAATTTTCTTTCCACTGCTAATAATATATGTGCTATCACATCTTTAGTTTACTTCAATTTAACATACCTACTACATTAGCCACTACATGACCTTAATGCCTGGCTTAAACTCGAATCTTATGTTTGTAGTTACCGGTTCCTTAGCCACTGCAATATGTTTCCGATTTTTTATAGGGTTTTCTCCGCCTATGTACAGATGGTTTGGGTACCAAAATCAACGATGAAGGCATAAAGTACTACAATGATCTTATTGATGCACTACTTGAGAGGGGTAAGATGTCATCCGTTAATTCTTCATGTTAATGCAAATAATACGTAGCCTTTGGTTTTATGTAAAGAAATTTGCCAGCTGCTTCTTCTCTGTAAACATAACAATGAAGTGAAGGTTTTATACTGATTCAGCATTTCCTTTTTTTGTTCATTGATGAATTTCTGCCATGTTTTCCAGGCATTGAGCCTTGTATAACATTGTATCATTGGGATCTCCCTTTGAATCTTGAGGAATCTTGTGGAGGCTGGTTAAATGAACAAACTATGTAAGCTCCTGTCCTTCAATTTTTCTCTGTTAATCAACACGTCACAGCTTTTTCTTGTGCTTATAATAGAGTGGTTGGTGCATATGGAATTCTAAGACTCTATCATAACTTTTTCAGCACGATTTTTTTTAAAATTATATCCGATGGGACACTAATGTCTTGATTTGCTGAAAATGTTGTAAAGTGAATGTCCAGTGCTGCGATTTTAAACCACGTTCTGGATAAAGTGTAGCATTCATGGATTCTCTACGTCTGATTGTGCCTTTTCGTTTAATTGACCTACGTTAGTTTTAGGTTTCTGAAGGGATATTAAATGTTGAGATTTCCCTTCTGAAGAAGGCAGGCCTTTCCATTTTCATTTTCATTTAAGCTGCAATTAAAGTTTGTTTATCCATGTAACTTGTGGAATAGTTTGTCGTTAATCACCTCCTAACAATCAACTTGGATTTTGGCGGCAAATATATAGAAAATATTTTGCCATCTATGCAGAAACTTGCTTTAGAAGCTTTGGCAATAAAGTGAAGAGGTGGATTACAATTAACGAACCTCTTCAGACTGCTGTAAATGGATATTGTACCGGTATACATGCCCCTGGAAGAAGTGAAAGCTCTTCTACTGAACCGTTCTTGGTAGCACACAATCAGCTGTTGGCACATGCTGAAGCTGCTTCCATTTATAGGAATAAATTTAAGGTAGCTCTTACAGTTTGAGAATTACTCTTGTTTCTTTAAAAATGTTAATGGAAATTCTTCCAGTCAGAGTTATCTCTGACTGATATTTTGGCTTTAAATGTTGTAGCTAAAGTTTCTGTGATCTTTTTTACGGTATTTGTCCCGACTTGAGGCTTAAGGCCTTTAAGAAGTTGGGGATGGAACTTTTCTGCTTTGTCCATTGTTGATAATATTGGTGGTTCTATGTTTACAGGATGAGCAAGGAGGAGAAATAGGCCTGGTGGTGGATTGTGAATGGCCTGAGCCTTTATCGGACAGTTTAGAGGACAAAGATGCTGCAACAAGACGCCTTGATTTTCAGCTTGGATGGTACTTTTTGTTATATCTGTTTTAGTCAGTCAAGAGTTCATGTTTTAAGCAGTGCCGGAACTAGGATTTGTATTCAAGGGGTTTCAAAATATGAAAAAGTAAACATAAAAAGAAATCAACGGTAATTACATTACAAAGTTTTCTTACTTACTTGGACAGAATAATTTTTCAATGAAGGGTGTGCTAGCCGATCGGTCATAAAGTGTGTATCTCAGTGATGGTCCAGATATTGGGTAAAATAGGTAGTACATATGGGCTGAAGAGGGAAACCTGAAATATCATCACCCTAAAAGCTATTGTCATTTGCATTGAGGCACTAAGCAATATTGACTTAGTAAACAGTAATTATTTTCTTAAAGAGGTCCATGTTTATAATGAATTAAAATTGATTGCTTAAGAGATAATGTATTTGAGTCTTCATCTTTCATCTCAAGTCGAGCATCTGAAAGCCTGACATATTTCACTTACTTACAAAGAAAATTACCCCAAAAAAGGCCTAACATATTTCTCTTAAACTGAAAATTTTGATCACGAGCCACATAATCTGTTGATCATCATTTTTGTGAATCTTCTTGCTTAAAATCCATCAAATTCTGGACTCTACCATCAAGGCATTAGGATAAAAGGTCACCCCCACCCTCTTTATTGTGAGTTGTTACTAAGTTTGATTCAATTTTCTTTGAAACAACTTTGTTCAATGATATGAAATTAACCTTCTTGAAGCTCTAGACCTTGTTACTCTAATTTTCTATGTATCTATCCGAGAATCTTGTATATATTTTCTTTTAAAGCATGTATATAATCAATATAAGGTATCACAAGTCAACTTTCTCTTTTATGTTTTAGATTTTTGTAATTTCTTCACAAACATTCTAACAGGTACCTGGATCCAATATTTTTTGGAGATTATCCTGAAAGCATGCGTGAAAGACTTGGAGATAGGCTTCCAAATTTTTCACAGCAAGACAGGGAGTTGCTAAAACATTCGGTGGACTTCATTGGTCTGAATCACTATACTTCAAGATTTGTTGGTCATGCAGCAAATAGTCTTGAAGAGAATGACTTCTATAAGATACAGGATGTAGAGATAATTGGTATGCAAGACCTAAACAACTTCTGTCATTTGTTAGATTTTTCTAGTCCATGAATTATGTGAGTGTTTTCCTAAGTTGACGCGTGTTTACTCTTTTCTTTTTGTGTTGTTTCTTTCCCTGTTCGTCATAGCTGAATGGGAAGGAGGAGAGGTGATCGGTGAGAAAGTATGTGTGGTCTCTATTTTCCAGTTCCATGGATGTATATGTCAGACATCGTATACTGAAAATGTTAAACTTCGTGCAGGCGGCATCATCATGGCTTTATGTAGTTCCTTGGGGAATTCGGAAAGTTCTTAATTACATTGCAGAGAGATATGACAATCCACCAGTGTATATCACTGAGAATGGTAATGCCTTCTGCTTTTCAAGGTTTTTGTTGGTCTCTCTGTTTGAAATTCGGAGGTCATCCAACTTGTCTAACTTTAGACAACGACTGCTCTATATATATGTATATGTGTTACTTGATCCCGTAAATATTACTATCATTTAAGCTTTTTCATAAAATGTTTGGAAAAAGATCATATTTATACTACTATTGCCTATATGTGAAAAAATGTTTTGACCAAGAAATTTCCATTAGCTTAAAATTGGAAGTTCTTTTGAAGGGAAAGGATTTATTAGAAAATAATGCAATTATCTCCAATTCTAGTGGTTTTGTGCATAATCCATCCTGGCTTGCGTACATGATGAACTTGAGTGTGATTTTCTGCTGAATGCAGCACTTAAGATTATGCTAAGAGCACTTTCATTGTCATTCTTGTTTTGGGGAAGCAATGGTCCCTGTTTGGACAATCCGAATGTCTATGGCCTAACCTGCAACAACGATTTGCTATGAGGTCAAAACTGTGAAGTGAAATAAATTGTTGTTCTCTTTGACTCTCCGATAGCTTTTGACAATGTGTCAAGAATGAAGGCCTGAAAGCACCTTGTGAACAGAAAGAGCTTCTATTTGAGCTTCCCTGATAAACTAATTTTCCAACTGTTAAAGTAACCGTCCGACATGAATTAAGTTAAAGATAACATTTTCAAACTTGCTACTAGCAGTTTGATGAACACTTGCAAGTATTTGTTCCATGTAATGACCTAATTCAGTTTTTTTTCTCTTGCAACTTCACTTTTCATGTTTAGGTATGGATGATGAAGATGATGACATATCTCCTCTCCATGAGATGTTGGATGACAAATTAAGAGTTTCTTACTTCAAGGCATACCTTGCTGCTATTCATCAGGCGATCTTGTGAGTATTCTCACAAACCTCTGTTTCATAGCCCTCGTCTTATAAGCATGTATTGGCATCAACATGCATAACAATTTTCGTTGATTCCTGTCAGATATTAGTAGCTCATGTTTCTGCATGTTCTGTCGGCTGCGTTCATTCAAACTTCTATTTGTCAATCATCCAAATCATAGAAATTACTTGCCTCTTGAAATATCGTAGTTCATTCCCCATTCAGTTTTAACATTGATTGGGAAGCTTCGCCAAGTATGAGATATTGTTTACCAGCACCTGGTAACAGGTAAATCTGTCCGCCAGGGATAGAACAGATGGAAAGAAATCATCTAGTGTTTTGTTGTTTCTGGTATTTGAACGGGAGACCTCAGGATATGCTCAAATCCACTTGAACCTGAGAGTTCCTACTCTTGTCTCATCTTAAGCTCTTCTTTCAAGAAACAGTTGGTGTCCGCTGTTATTCCGGGAAGAAAATGTAGTTAAGTTGTTGATAATTGTCCCTCTGCGTACTTTACCTTGTTGTCCAACTATTTAGCACAATAAAAGGCTGGTATAACATACAACGAGGGCAGAATATCTGCTGGTTGCATGATTCCAGTGTTACAGGATCAATCAAATGTTGTGTTTGTTATGACTGGATGGCGATGTCTTTGCCTACACTCTATACATACTAACGAAGTCCTACATTTGTCTCGACAGGGACGGTGCTAATGTGAGGGGTTATTTTGCATGGTCATTGCTGGATAACTTTGAATGGAATCTTGGTTATACAAAACGCTTCGGTCTGACATACGTGGACTTCAAGAATGGGCTAACCCGGCATCTAAAGTCTTCAGCTTACTGGTTCATGAGATTCTTAAAAGGTGGACAAGTAAAACATGGGAAAGAAGATTAACTAACTTCTTGTGTTCTGGTGTTAGCAGCTTATGTATTTTCATCTTCTTCTTTTTTTCTAGTGACTCTCTGTATACTGCTGCTGAGGCTTTTACATGGAAAACTTTTCATCTTTCTTGTATGATAGGCATAATCATGACTTTATTTGTTTGGCTCAAGGTGCCTGGAATATGGAATCTGTGAACTCACTGTCAAATAGATTTAACTTGTATGGTTCAACAATCATAAGAAATTATAAGTTTCTTGAGATAAGTCTACGCGTTTCTGCGGCTGAAAATAAAATCACAAAAATGAATAAGAAAATCTCTAGGTTGAGACACGGATATCTCGCTCTCTTTAAGAAGATTCAAGCCAACTGCGGCATAATCTACACCAATCCATCAGTAATACTCTTGACTCGTCCCCTCCAGGATACAACATCCCAACAACGTCGTATAACTCAAGCAACTCCGGATTAGTTGAAGAGGTCTACATGTCTACAAAAAGAACACTTTCCTTCAACATATACTACTCTCTTTTGTACAGTAAATATAGTTGAAGATTTACAGTATTTTCTTCCTTACAATGACTAAAAAGATAATAGGTAGTAAATTGATAAATGAATAGCCCAAAGATTAGTAAGTTATCGATATCGGTTCTGTTTTAAATAGCCCTACATCAAATAGTTATTGATACACATTTTAATACGAATTTAATCAAGCATTTACATATAATCACTTTTAGACACGTAACAATTTATTTTCTTCTCCTTTATATTAATCATAATTTTCTTCTTCTTCTTCATTCCAAAATGAGGGTGAATATCCACTACAACAAAAAAGATTTGTATCGACAAACTTTCTATATTGCCGTGAAAATATTTAACGATAATTAAGTTATTATTATTATATTTAAAGCCCCTAAAAACTTTAGTGACACTTATAAGAGTACCGATTATACTCATATGTATTATATAAAATATAACATAACAATAATTAATATTATAGCCGCAAATGCCACAAAATTATTTATTTGTTAGTAGTGATGAGTAATTGGTTTCTAAAATAAAAATATTAAACGAGCATAATTTAACGAAACCTCAAAAAAAATTATACTACTTGACAATTTTTAAATTGATAAATTTTTAATAAAATTAAACTCGAAAAAAGGTTCTTGACTATTTTTTTTTTTAAAAAAATATATATGATATTATCCATGTGTTAACTTAAACCAAAGATGTGTATTAATTTGAACTAAAGGGTTAAAGTAGAGCAAAATAAATAATGAGAATTCATACAAATTCTTTTATTTTCTTTAAGGTCTTATATAAGTAAAAATATTTATCTAGAAATGGAGAAATTAACTTTAATTAAATATAAGGAAAAACATTTTTTTCCTAATAAATATAATTTGTCAAGAATATACTTTTTATTTTATCTAAAAACATTGTTTATTATTATTATTGTTATTATTATAAATTTTGTTTTAGTTTTATTAATTGTAGGTTTCAATTAATGCAACTCCAAACTGCCATATTTTTGTTATTACAAATTAATATTAGATTAACATAAATAGTCTTTATTATCCTTTTATTGTTATTCACCAATTTTTAAAACGTTACTATATGTTTGATTCATTAATCCATTTACCCTTTTGTATTAATTATTAATTAAAAAATCTATACTTATAAATTAACCATTTCTTCTATTTTTCAATAGCAAAAAATGGCAATTAAATGGATGAGAATTGCACTATTAATTTCCTTGTTGACACCAATAGCATTAGCCATTCAAGAAGAAGAGTTTTATAACCCCGATCACGGTGGTGATTTCAATTCATACGATTCTTCTTTATACTATACATTCCCGAATGAATATTATCGTGATAGAAAATCGTCAGCACCCGAACCGTATCCCGAGCAAGTGGAGGAATGTTTGCAAAACATTTCAGATGATTGTGGAATAATCATATTTAACAAGATCATGGATAATGGAAAGTATAGTGATGTGGGAGAGTGTTGCACTCAACTTATCACATTGGGAATAAAATGTCATAATGCAATTATGGAATCTACACTTCTTAGTCCTGAGATGAAGGGAGTGAATATAACTCAAATTTGGAAAAATAGTGATAAACTTTGGGAAGAATGTAATTCTATTTCACCTTCTAGTTGTTAATTTTATTTTTATCGAGTTTATCGATATCCCAATATGTTAATGTTTTCGAATAAATTAAATTACTAGAAATGTGTAGTATGTATCAATATGTGTATTTGGCAAGATATTGTATTGTTTAACATATAGAGATGATAAAATAGCCTATGAAATTATAATTCGATTAAGTTTTTAATTATTGATTCGTTTATTTTATTAATCACTCATCAGAATTTGGATTAATACTTCAGCCGAAATTAATCTATGATAAATCTTGTTCCTAAACTAAAAATATACCAAGTCTCATCAAAATTTAAATTGTGCTAACACAAAAAGATATCACAAACATTAAAGATTGTTATTTCAAATATATACTCCCTCCGTCCGGAAATGTTTGTTATGTTGCGCTTTTCGAAAGTCAATTTGACTAATTTTTAAAATTGAATTAGATCACATTAATTCGATTTTTTTTTTATTAAAAAAATAGATATTTTAAAACTATATGAAAAGTACTATAAATTGCAATTTTTTAACATATTAATATGATGAAAAATTATATCTTAAAATGTTAGTCAAAGTTTTTATAGTTTGACTCTAAAAATAGAAACTATGACAAACAATTCCGAAAGGAGTACTAGTTAATTTGTTAATATATCTATAGTTTGTCTAATTAATTACAATTCGCAGCCTACTTTTAGCTATAATTATGTGGCTCAGCTTTTTTGTTTGGTATAATTTGCACATTTGTATAATATAATTTGTATAATTTTTGTATAATTCATAGTTTATATAATTGTTTTACGGTTCTGATGTTTATAATCGTATAAATTCGCTATTTCCACCAAACATTGAAGGAAAAAATGACAAATATACCACTGAACTATCGTAAATAGTATGCAAATACCCACCATTATATTTTTGAGACACTGGTGCCTATGCCGTTCAAAAACTAAAACATATACCCTTTGTACTAACTACATACACGTTTAAATGACATATATGCTCTAATTTTTTGATGGTATCGATAGTTTGAATGGTAACTTTTTCCCCCAAAATAAAATGAATTAATTCCAAACAAAAATTAATTATCTCTCATACTTTTTTGTGTAAACTTATTTTACACTTTGAACAGCTATTTCTGCTCCTATTTGGAGCATGATTTTCAGTTCCAGAAAATTTTCATCAGCCCAGTAAGTATATATACAATAAGAACTCCAAATTAGATGATTTTTTTTTAAGCAAATGGTGTTTATGCAGGTTTTTAACTTTGATAATCTGATGAAATTTGCGATTTGTGTAATAATTAGGTTTGTTTTGATGCATTTTTATGGTGTATTTGATGTGGGCAATCACTGTAAACTGTTTGCTTATTGCTGCTTTCATTTTTCCTATTTTTTCCTACGGTGTATAGAAAACCCATGATTTTCAATTGCAGTATAATTATTGTTCTAATATTGTTTTTTTTTTCATTACCAAATTGATGTAAAGTTGGAGCTAGGGTTGAAGGTGATTTTTTTTTCTTTTCTGATAACCGTGGTGTCTAACGATATGAATATTTAACTCCTTTACGAGGAGTTCACTGTTTCTTCTTAAAGAGAAAGGCCACTCTGATTACAGATTCATTCTTGGAAACCTCCCAGATATAAGATTTGATAAGAAAGTGTTTTTTTTTTATTTTACAACTATAAGATTTGATATGGAAAGGTCTCTCTGAGTTTACTATTAAGTATTTATATTGATTTTGCTTATATGAGGCACAAAAGATTGAATATTGTAATTTATTTTTCTGAAAGAGCATTATTTCATGGTTATGATTATTGTACTAGCATGTTTTCTGACTTGTCCCTCGTTAAAATGGTTGTGGTTTAGTATTATTACTCACTGAGCTAGCGTCTCACTCCTCGCTATAATTTTTTTTTACAGAGAATACAGGTGACTTTGGTAAGGTCTAGAGCTTTCGAGTTGATAAATTTTCGGTAAGCCCCGCACTTGTTCGCGTGGATAACAAGATTATTAGTTGTTATAGGCATTTGTTGAAATTCTTAGAGTCGCTCCATAGTCATTTCTTTTATTAGAAGTTATGAGTATTCTTTCTTATTGTAAACTAGTGTCGAGTATGAGACTTATGTTTTGGAGTTGGAATTAGTATTTTTACTCTTCGAATAGTTTATTGATGAATAAGTGGGAAAAAGATGAGATTGGTTGGCTGCGTTATTGATTTCTGTTACAGGAAATTTCAGGATAGGCCTAAAAACAGAGGAAACTCTGTCCGATTTTCTGTAGATTTCTGGTTAAGGCTTGCTTTGGAACTCTTCTCCTTAGCGCCGGTCACAATTCTAAATTGGGTCGTGAAATAGTATCAGGTAACTTTGCCGACCAAGACTAGGAAAGATAGGAAGAATCACCTAGTTTTTTGGGTTTGAGATTCTAGTTCTTTTAAGTTAGTGAGTTCTATATTAATAGTTTGTGCATATTCAAGAGATTTCTTAAGAAAAAGATAGAGTTTGGACCAAAGCTAGTGAATTCGGGCTGAATGTGTAAGCTATACCCTAGATCTTTCCCTGATTGCTGACATAGGTGATTGGGAATAGTTCTGATTCCTAACATATTACAGTACTAAAAAAACTCTAAAGCTAAAATCTTTAAGCTGATTTTTTATATGTAAGTTTCAACTTTTGATGCTCTGATAAATTTTACTTGTTTTTAATGATTGGCGTTTTTTCCCTTTTCTGGTGTATTTGATTTGCGGCAGATAAATACATTGGTTGTATAAGTGTGTAATTCTGATGGGGCATCATGAGACGAATTCGTCCAGTAGTAGGGACAGGTCTCCTTCTCAACAGAGGCACAGACATCGGCGTAAGGAGAGAGATTTGGATAGAGAATTGTCATATGAAAAAAGAGAACGAAGGTCAGGAAGAGATGTAATTGAGCATAGGTCTCCTAGGCCAAGAAATGATTACTCTTTTTCGGGTTCAGGTCATCAAAGAATGGCACATCAGAGACCCAGTTCAAATTTTAGTGTTGACACAGAAAGAAAAAATGAGGTGCTTCATTATGAATAATACCCTTTTGTATTGGAGTATTATTTTTTTTTTCTTTTTTTGAACTTGCTGTTTCCTATTATGCTATTGGACAATGTTAGTGAATTGTTAATAGATTGATTAGACTAAAGTTTGCATAGGCTGTCATATCGTGGATTGAGAATTGAAGTTCTTGGGCATTGAATAATTAATTAGAAGATGGAAACTGTAAGAAGCTGGACATTAAGAAAATTAAGTAAAGCATTGAAAGAAGATAACAGTATGAATCTCATTTATATTGCTGGAGACAACCTAATTGAACTTGGCCTCAGACACACTCAAAAAGAAGATGGTATTTGGGGGTGACATCTGCAAATAGATAACAAGCATTAGGAAGGAATTGACGGATGTTGGAGCTTGTGTTGCCTTGAAATTCTACCTTGCAAACAAGAGAATATAAGAAACTTGACTAATGTGTCGGTGAGAGTGCTAGACGAAAGTAAAAATTTGATCTCTAAAATCTGAAAGAGGAGTCGGATGAGAACGATGGGAGAAGGAATAGTAGACAACAATTTACAACGGTTAAATAAGATAGAAAGTTATAATACCTTATTAACTGATTGAATATCCATCTTTTTTTAAAAATAAAATAAAATAGGTGAATGTCCATCTTTTTCTTGAACCTTGTAACCAACAGTTGTTTGCTTCCTTTGCTTGTTCTTGAAGGTCATAAAAATGAAACGGATGTCAGAATCCTAGCATATTGTTCTTTTAATTTAGCTGGATAATTTTGTACTTCCAAATGCATTTTGCATATTTTTCCTCTTTCACGCTGGAAAAAATAACCTAATTACTATTCCATCTTTTTCTCAGGCGTTCGACCCAACTGATTCTGAAAACCGGTAAGCCTCTGATGGAGATTTGGTTCTTTAGCTCTTCTTGTCAGTACATGTCCATAAACTTCCTTTCCTTTTCCATACCTAGTCAGCCTGAGAATCAGGAAATCTCTTCGGCAAGAATAAAGAAGCATGATCCTACTTAAAATATAGCATGAAGTTATCAAGTTCTTTTGTCTCTTCAGTAGGGGGATAGCTCCAATTAGCTGAAAGCAGTACTGTAACTTCGTTGACTGCCAAATCTTATGATAGGTAGCTTTTCATCTTCTTTCAGATATCTGCCTTTCATTGAACAACCACCTATTTCTTAACCTGAGCGGAAAGAAATTGTAACAACTCCATTGCAGTTACTATCTCAAGGCAGCGTATCTGTTGTGACTATTTCTAATGCATAGATTCTTCCATTATTGCTGATCCTCTACTGTATCATAATGTTATGATGAACAAAGGAGCTCATTTTCCTTCAAATAAGAAAAGAAAGGGAAGTGCAACAGAGTAGACCTATAGTCATGCAAAATAGGCAGGTTTTATTATTCTATGCAATCCCCATAACTATAAGTAATGACATCGCTTGGAGACTGTGTACTGTTTTCTGGATGCCTGAGTGGCATTATCAATTGTTTTCAAACTTATTCACAGTGTGTGCGAATGGCTACATCTACCTTTTGAAGTGCAATAAGTATCCCTTTTTTATCAGCATATATGAGCACCTTTACCAATTTTTTGAGTCACTCATTACTTGCCTAAGCAGGAAGGATAGAGATGTTAGCATGGATAAAACGAAGGCAGATGAACAGGACCTGGAAGCTAAAAAGGAGGTATAATGATTTTGCCATTGTTATCATGGCATTTTTCATAAAGTCTTACCCTTCTGATGGGTCTAGAAAGTTGCAGCACAGTTTGATTTCTTTTTGCCATTTAGCTGTTTAGATTTTTAAATTTAGCTTTCTGCGAAGTGGATTATATGCTCTTGTATTGTCCTTAAATTTCATATACTAAGTTGCTTAAATCACTGTTATGCAGCAAATGACATTGTTAGAGATGTCCGGAGATCTTACTACAGAACCTAAACAACTCACAGGTAGTAACTGCATTTCCTTTTAGCTTCATATTCCCAAAGAATTCTTCTCTTTCCTCGGGGTCTCCTATCCTTGTACAGATCTACTTCTTAAATAATACATTTTATATATTTATGCACACAGACACACGCAGACACACACACACATATCTATGTATTTATTTGTTTCTTTTGAGAGGGCTAGGAAGAGGAAACCGAGTTGCAAAATCATGCAAAGTCCAAGAACCTATCACTGAAAGAGAATTAGAAATTACTATTCTTTTCTTAGAAAATTTCTGAAATTCTTAATTTCTCAAATACTGTCCATAAGACCAGGTAGGTTCATTTTGAAAATTGTCTTCTTTTTTTTTTGATATTGCCCCATTGGTTCATGTTTGTTCTAATGATCAGAGATATTTTGCTAAGATATCATGAGACTACGGTCTCATTATGGCTTTGCCGATCACTTCTTTTAGATCATCATATTGTACTTTCTTTTATGTTCTTAACAAGTTTCAACTATAAGAAAGGAGAACAATTTGGATGAAGAAAGTTGTTTATAAGAGGCCAGTTATAGTGAGCGATCTATGTTTGGCTGCACATACCTATTCGAATCTCCAGTAGCTTGCTTAACCGAAGCTTGAACTAATGTCAATATTTCTTTGTATTTTTTTTTTTGTTTCAGGAGGTTTCCGAGATGGATTAGTACACTTCCCTAGTCCATTCTGAGATGAATTCGCATGAGAAAAATCTCTTTGTCTGTTCAATATATATAAATATGATTCAACTCCCCTCTCTCCCACATAAACATATGTGCGCGCACAGAACCAAATGGTTTCTCTGTACTTGTCATGGGCATAATACAAACCATATGACAAAGCTACCTGGGTTATATTCTGTTTGATGCTTGAAGATATTAGGTGAGAATTATGAGGGTGAAGTACAGAGGGAGTACTAGGTAGAGTAGAGGTGTATGACTATTTCTGCTCTCTTAGCTCGCATAGTAACTTATAGAAGTTTCTGGATGGACTTGCATTCTCTAGTTTTTGTCCATGCTGTTGTATGCCTATTGATTCTTATAAGATATTGGCTAATCTAAACATATCTTTACCAGCAGAGGGAAGAAAGGAGGAAACCAACGTGTCACTGGAATATAGTAGTGACATGAAGAAGGCAAGACTCCATTCAACACTGGTTGCTCTCCTCAACGATCCTGTGCTTGCTGATATACCAAAAAACCCAACTCTGACGGATGTGGACACCCTTATCAGCTTGGAACTTGGGAGTGCCATGCGTATCTCTGTCCTCAAATTGGATGGCAGCTCCTTTGGTACTTAGGTCTCAGTGTTCTTAGTTGCAAATTTTGTTCCTGGTTTTAATGAACAAGAATAAGCAATTTCATCCATTAATTTTCTTCCTTTCGATGAAGATGTGACAGTGATGAATTCGGCAACAGTTAAAGACTTGAAACAAGCTGTTCGGAAAAGGATTGATGACACCGAGCAATCTAAGATGGGCCATCGGCACATCTCTTGGTATGTTGCTTGAAATGCTACAGGAATATTGTGACTTTGTGCTCTTAGAGTTAGTTCATGTTTTCCTTTCATCATAGCCTTCTTTTGGATAGGTAAGAATTTTAATTCTTAGTAACCGAAAAGTGAAATGTGAAACTCGAAAGTCAAAATATAATGTTGGCACTTACTGTAAGAGGTGGTCAGAAGCCAAAGGAAGAGTGTAAAAGTTGAAACAGCAATAGATTAAGGGAGAGGTTAAAGTTTGCTAAATCAGCAATACGTCAGGAAGAATTAGATTGAAGGTAGCCTTAGAAATCAGAGTGATGATATGGTGCTGGACCTGCTATACCTTTTCATAGGGGATATATGGATATCTTTCCGGGATAACCTGGAAAGAGCAGGTGACCAGCAAGCCAATGTGTGTGCATCTGGAGACATTGTAACATAAGACTCAACACTATTGAAAAACTACAATTGATTGATTTGATGATGCTGTCTATTTTATTGGAGAATATTTGATGACAGATCTTTTTTGAAACCCTGGCTTGTATAAGTGCTACTACTTTTATTTCCCTGCTCAAAAAATGAATTTGTTGGCATACGAAGAATGTCATTGCATCTCTTTAGCTCACTTGACATTCAAGTGTATGCTAGGCAAAACTTTGATTGAACTTTTAGTCTGTATAAGTTAACTATTGTTTTAACAATAATTACCTCGAGTCTAATGGTTGGCATGGATCACTTGAACTATAGCTTGATGGTACTCACATTGAGCTTGTAAATTGCTATCATTTATTCTCTTCCCGCTTTTTTTAGCTTGAATGTGTATTTCTGTTGATATGCAGGAGGCATGTCTGGTCAAATTTTTGCCTTCTATTCCACAATGAGAAGTTACTAGATGATACTGCTAAACTTCAGGACTACAGCATTAGGAACAATGCTCAGGTACTTTGATGCTCACATTCATATCTTTATTGCATTACCAAATGCCAATTTGTTCTCGAGAAGATTGAAGAAAAGTTCCAATATTGATCTCCAGAAGTAATATATTCCCTATTCACTGGAGTGTTAGGCTGCAGTGCTCTAACTGACCTCTTCCGTGAATATCCTTAGGAGCTTGGCGTAAATCAAATCATCAGGAGATCCATTTTAGCGATTTCCAAATATCAGTAGTCTGTTGCCGCCAGGGATTTTGTCTAGTGGTTAGAGCACGTTGTGCGATGTATGAGGGTAGGCACATATTACAGGCTTTGAATCCTGCTTCAGATCAATGCCTTGTATTTGAGTGGAGAAGGATAGAGGGACATGTCCATTATGGCATTATCTACTGGTTTTGTATGATGTGCCACTGACCCTAGGGGATTTCTCAGTGATCAAAAGGAATACATATTTTAGTAGTCTGATCATAACATCCAGCTTAATATTCTCAAAATGATCAAGTTGAAGAAAGAACTCTTTATTGAAAACTACAGTTTAGAGTAAAACCTAAAAGAGGAACTAGATTACTTGTTATCTTAAGGAGATGTTGATTTTTTGAGGGTTTTATTGCTTGTCCTGCACATCATTGTGATTTCTTGTGCTGTAGATTGAATGTGGAAGTTGGCCTTTTGTTCTATTTTTGTTCTGACTTTATATCTGAGTTTTGTAATTCCTGATATATTCTATGTTTGTGGGTCTTCCTTTTCTGTCTTCAAAAAGTAGTACAAGATCATATCAAATGGTTAGAATGGACATGTAAATCTTCCTCCAAAAGAGCATTAAGTTTAACTGTTTAAATATAAGCTTCCTTAAGTAGTTGGAAGTTGGAACTCCGTTTTATGTTGGGCTCTTGTAAGCTCTCGTATGATTCTTGAATTTTTGCTCGTCTAATTTGAGACGTTTGGCAGGTGCAATTCGTTCCCTATGTCATCTCGAGGGCCTTTAAGAGGCATTCAAAGAGGAGAAAGCACAGATTCTTTCATGGACTAAGCAAAAAGGGGCGCACAACAGATTGAATCAGGGATTAGACTGCTGCTAGCTCGTGCTCGTAATAGCAAATGTTGTTGTAAAGTCTAGGAGCCTTTCGCTTTCCCTGATCATATTATGTTGAAAATACTCAGCTAACTATCTTCGAGATGAGCTTAATGCAGTGAAAATGGCCAACATATATTTATATAGCCGATCTCTACTCGTTGGAATTGAGGTGTAGTAGTTGTCATTGTTCAACTGTCTAGTAGGAGAACTACCCAAAAAAAGGTTTGGAAGTTCATCTAACACTTGAACTGGATATATGTACTAATCATTAGATCTAAATATACAATCACAAAAGGGAAGGTTTGGCTATTAATCTACGCTCATTGATGAGACGATAGTGAAAATGTGTAGTTTTCACTAAGTTATTCTATTATTTCCTTTTTATTGGTATAATTTTGTTTTTTATGTCTATGTAAGTGAAAAGATTGGGGCCAAAAACAAAAATAATAGAGTAAAAACTTGTGAATATCAAATCAACATCTTATACAAGGGAAATTTTAGTAGATAAAAAACACACAATACACATCCTAATAATGCATTTCCACATTTTGTAACAAGGCAAAAGTTATGATGATAACTTGCAGAATAATTGAACTATGTATGGTATCAAAAACCTAAATAAATATAAAAGCGAATATTTTTCTTTATTACGAAAATAAAGAAGAGAAAATTAGAAAAGAAGCATGGCCAGATATTATACAGGATATTTACATATAAATAAGATCTACATTGTACAACAGAGTGCTGCAACACACACACCTGTGTCAAATGATCTACTCTGCCAGCCAAGTAAAAACCTAACTACATGACCATCAAAACATGACTGTAAAGAATGAACTATAGCAAGAGTAGACCACAAACTGACCCAATTGACTAACTACTAGGAAATACATATTTCTGTTTACCAACTTCTTCATGTTTATATCCTTTCTTCCCTACCAAACATATCAGATTCAAAAGTCCGATTTCATAAGCTTCATTCCAGGCTTTATTGTGATATCGTCAAAGGGTATCACTTGCTCTACATGAAGGTAATCTCTTGTTTTAAGAACCTGCGGTAACACACAGATACCGGATTAAAATTCCATACGAGAATGTCAAAAAAAAAAAAAGGTCTCAGGCGTTGCACGTACCAAAGTTTCAAAAAACATCCTTGATGCCTCCTTTCGTGTTTTACCAACTAATAAACTGTCCATGGAGAGAGACGTTCTGCCACGCTCAGATTCTTTAATAAACAAGGTTTGGAGGTATTTGGAAACAGCCCTGTGTATACAAACATCAATGTGGAACTCTGGCTGAACTTTTTGTTCATAAATAATATCATCATAAAGATCAGACAACAGTAGAATAAATAGCAGAGCCTGTCTATAGGTAAAACGAAAGGAGATTAAAGCCTTTGGACCAATATCCCAGTTGTAAATTTCGAGCAAGTATGTTCTCATTTTATCATTTGAAGTTAAAAAAAAAAAAAAATCTGGGGTTACACTATGGAACACATCTACCAACCTTCTTATACCATCCATTCTCTAGGTAGGATGGAGATAAGTTTCTTTAGACAGCCTTACCTTAACTCCAACCACAAACTACTTTCTTGGAGAAGATTCTTCGATTTATGTTAAAGTGCAGCTGCTGTATTCAGTAGGTATGATCCTTTCAATTTTCAAAAGGAAATGATTTTCTTCGCTTATCTATCCTGCAGTTAACCACTCTTTCCAGTCTAAAGCATCAAGGGGTGCATTTTACACCAATGAAGTTTCTTTGACATTTTTATCAACCTGTATCACGTCTTCATCTTCTTCAATTTATGTAATATAAAAAAAATAAACTCCAGCAGTTCAAATATGATTTTTTTTTAAAATGGAATCATTGTATTTATAAACAGCATAAAGTTTGTGATGGAATTACAGTATAGTGAGCAGAAACACCAAAAAGATAAGTTGCATGGACTCTTTACTTTTGATGCCACACCCGTGTCGGTTTCTCCAAAAGTACACTAACTTTGGAAAATCGGACATGCAGCCGCTGATATTTTTAAAGAGTCCGAGCAACATAGCCAAAAAGTATGGCCCTCTTCTAATCCTACAGAGCCTCTATGAGTTCTAGCAGTGCTTAGGCCTCTACGATATAAAAGGACTGTAGAAGTCCCTTTTCAACATGACAGCGTTGTTTGCTGTAGACAAAGGGTGGGTGTAACTAAAAAGAACAATAGGCCATTTTGGACTATCTGAAGGACATTATACCTCGTAAGTAAGAATTGAGAAAAGAATTAGCTCAACTAGACGAGATAGTTGCTCAAGTGGTAAGCACCCTCCAACTCCAACCTTGAGGTTGCAAAGGAGCAAGGTAGTAGCTCCTGGGGAGGAAGAAAAGAAAATTAGCTCGACTAGAGGAGACCCCTACTGACTCTTCGTTTAATTTTTAGGCACCATTTCCACGGGTTAAAGAACACATGGTTAACCAGATAGAAACTACTGCTTCAGTTCCTATATTCAGCCCAAGTCGGACTTTTTCCTTCTGCTACTTGTCAATCCAAAGATTAGGACTAGGTTTTTGAACTGATGGAATTTCCCAAATGGTAATGAAACTTGCCATTCTGTTTAGTTGGCTGAATCAGACTCTGGGCCTGCCCTTTTGCTATCTTTCTCATTATGCTGGTTCAACTTCAACCACTGTTCATGCAACCACGCATTAACAATGGACTCTCTTAATATGCAAAAGCTGTCGGTCAGCAGAAAAGATTATCTGAACCTCTCTGCAATCACTAAAGAAGAGGGGTAGCTGAATCACAGGAAGGCCAAGGAAGATAATGTCTATAGTCGTCGGGAAAAAAAGACGAGATGCACCATTTAAATATAAATGAACAATCAAAGAATTTGGTCAAAGTACATAGCGAGAAGCAGGAATCTAAAGAGGTCCTCTTCCCAAAACATAATTCTATTGTGAAATTTGAGCCTAGTCTGTTATTCTGACAATTTTGTATTTTTACCCTCGTTAGATTAAATGACAGAAACCAATGTATAAACCACCCTGTAAAAGCACTGAACCACAGGAAAAAAGTAGACATGCAAGGAGGGCAAACTTGTCTAAAAATGACACTCAGCTTACGCAAGCCTAGACTTATAACAGTAGAATAATAGGAAATGAAGGACAAGCAGCACACCTTGTACGAGAGGACCATCCAATGTTCTCAGTGATACGGGTAACATCAGCAGCTGGAACATAATCATCAGCTGCTTCAGCTTCTTCATCATCATCGTCATCGAAGTTCAGAAACCCTAGATACCAAAAATAATGTTACACCAAAGCTACAAGACTAGGAGAAATTTTACAAAAACTTCCAAAGAAACTACAGTACCAATGTTGCCACGCTGAAATGGTTTGACCATTCTGTAATAGAGGTAATAGTAATCTTAGATGAAATATGTCTCGAAATATGGAGTTAAATCTCTCATATCCCACAAATACAATACACTGTAAATTGCTCTTATAAAAGCATTCCGGGCCAAGACACTACTCTTCACACATTTCCTCAAACTCTTCTACTTGTGTGTCTGATTTCTTCACACATCAAATCAGACAGGTACAAGGAGAAAGGTCATAATTTACAGCATTTGTCCATGACTAAGAAACCTTGTGAAACCAATTTTCAAACTATAACATCAAACTGAATGCAGATTTTTCAACCCATTATCAAATTTAATTAACAAAGAAAAATCCAGATGCAAGGTTCTGAAACAAGCAAGGACAGACAATCCATCTTAATCAAACATGCCTAATGTTACAGCAAATTTGAAAATATTCTCGTCCAATTCGACTTTGAAATTATTTGTTTTTTCTTTCTTTTAAGGCAATAAAGTTTTCAAGTTTTGGTTGCAGATGAGGGAAAATAAACCTGTATCATTTCCAGCGGCTGAATAATGTAGATCCTGCCAAAAAAAAATGAGGAAAGCTCATATCAGCAGAGCACATAACAAAGTAAATCTCTTATCAAAGCAAAGGACCGTTATTTCAAGCCCATTTTAACAAAAGCAATCAACTGATAAAGAATCTAGTAGTTTGGGGGGAAGAACAGTGCAAGACAGAAGGTAACCTCCAGTATACATGTTCATCTACATCAAGTCAAGATTTGTGCTCGTACATATTGCTGCTTGCTAGATTTTTTTAGATTTTTAGATTATTCAATCAGGTCTTACTACGTTGAGACCTGACACTATTGGTAACAATATAGAGGTAATCTTTTTCTTTTCTTTCTTCCCCTTCCGCTGAGTTCCAAAGAACCACACATACTGAACAAAGAGCAACAGGTCAAGAAGCAACAAGGAAGCAACCTAGTCAAGACCAGGAGAAGATATAGGTACTTCCAACTTTGATAAAAGAGAGGTACATAATTATTGATTGTCTGCAATTTCTATCCAACGTGTCACAAAAAGAAAAATAAGATTGTCATGTATAATACATGAAAGAGAGAGAGAGAGAGAGAGTACTGAAACTCCAGAAGACTAGCACTCGAAACTAAGCTAGCACACTTACATTTAGGTCACCCAGATTGCCATTCGTAAGATCTGTGCCCATCATATTGTAAGAGAAATTTTCTTGTTTACAGGGATAGTCTCCGGCTCCTATGGGATCATCCAGCAAATGCATATTCGTTTCATCATATGAAGCATCTGTTTTGGGTTGTTCAGTGCCCATAATGTTATCAGCAAAGCTCTGGTTGACATCATCTGCCACTATATCTTCTACATTAGTTGCAATTTCAACTGTAGCACTGTCTTGGGCAGCCTCCAATAGAACTGCATCTTCTACCATATTCTCAGTTTCAGTTTCAGCTTCAGAAATAAAGTAGTTGCTTTCTGGCCAGTCACTACTAACTACAAGGTTTTCATCATTCAAATTTTCCAGAGACTTATCAGCTTGAGCAGCCGGTGCACGATTGGGAGATCCATATGATACTTCTGGTAAAATAAAATCAGCTTCCCTTCCAGACTCATTAAATGGATCTGTCAGAGGTAGACCTGCCGCGATATCACCATCGCCACCTAATCCACCACTTTTAGGACACGCCAATGATTCTTTGGCGGCAGTGGCAGTATCTGCTGCATCAGCACCTGAAAGGTAAGTTACCTGAGATCCTATTTCTGCTGTATTATCTGAAGGTTCAAGATGAAAACCATTGGCCGCTGATACATCAGTGACAGTATCTGGCCGCAATTGAGAGGCGTCACTATTTAAACATTGGTCATGCTCACCAACTTCCTTGTTCTCAGTTGGAATAGTAGCCTCAACAGCTCCTAACATGCTATCATCTCTAGCTACAAACCGTTCATCGCTTCCT